TTCTTTCTTAAGGAATATCTAAAAATGTTTATTTTCATACCAATTGATTATGTAACCTGAACAGGTGACTCAAGCACGTTTGAAATAATGATTGTTCTGTGGAACTTTTGATTCTTTCAAACAGTTTTGCTTATCAAAAAACCTCAAGTAATTAATACATAAAAAATTATACAGTCACTAAAAATCATGAAATAATTTATTTTTGTAAAAAAATACAACCGACTTCAAACGCTCTAAAAAGAATGAAATAATTTCAATAAAGTAAACTTTTGTATTAGGCAAGCTCACGTATTTCAAGTCGGCGCGGCTCAAACTGCAAATATGATTGAAATTAAATATTGTGTGTGTATTTTGAAAATCAATCAATTGTAGCTGGATAACATAAATATATAAAAAACATACTGAACTGTTTTGTTTATATATTAAAGGAAATATTTTCTTGTATTTTATGTTTACTTCGGAATAAATGCATTATGAAAATAACACACACAAATGTTCTATATGAATAGGAAAATAATTTAGTTTGATATTATGATAGGGAAAAAAAGCTAGTTTAGTATTAAAATGATACTTTTCCAAGTTAGAAACATTTAAATGCGTTATAATCTTTTTAAAGATACTCGTTAATACCACTATAATGCCGATCTCTGATTACGGTAATAAAATAACACTTAACACATAACTATGAAAAAGACATGCAGATTAACACCTTTAGTTATAGATAGTCACCTGCAATATGGACCCCCTCTTTCAATTTTGTATCAAAAATCATCATAGAGCCGCGCCGACTTAAAATACGTGAGCTTGCCTAATACAAAAGTTTACTTTATTGAAATTATTTCATTATTTTTAGAGCGTTTGAAGTCGGTTGTATTTTTTTACAAAAATAAATTATATAATACACAGACAACAGCGGCTTTTGCCAACAAAGATGGCGGGTTGTCGTGTACGCCCCACACAATTTGTTTTTCAGGATTAATTTTGCCAACAGTGTCATTTTAGAGGCTTCTGATTGACTATAACGAAGGTTTAGTAATTGAACAATTATTTTTGTTCATAGAATAAAATTATAAATGCCCCAAATTCAATTTTATATTTTTTATTATGAAATTAAACCGTAATAACCTAACTAAACCAACCAAACGTGTTGACAATGAAAAAATCGAATGAAGGTTTATTAATCAAAAAAATAGTTATGTTCATAAAATAAAATTATAAATGCCTCAAATCCTTTTTTATATTTTTTTATTCTAAAATTAAACTATCATAACCTAACCAAACTAACCAGACTTGCTAATAATGAAAAATCAAATGAAGGTTTAACAGAAAAAAATATTTCTGTTCATAAAATAAATAAATGGGTCAAATTCAATTTCATAATGTTTTAATTATAAAATTAAACCGTCATAACCTAACCAAACCAACCAAACTTGTTAATACTTCTTTATACTACTTCTTTATACTTCTTAATACTACTAAAACTTCTTCTTCTTTTTGATGGCGGGTTGACGTGGTGGCGCCTTGGCGCATTCCCATCTGGAGGAGGAGGACCCCGTGTTCGAATCCTGACGGCAGTGCCGGCGACACTAACTTTTTGTCCAAGGCTTTGCTTAGATTGCGAATAGTTTTTTAACTGTACATCTTTTGTTAGAATTTGAGGCATTTATAATTTTATTTTTTATAATAACAAATTTTAAAATAATTTCATAGGCTAATTAAAAATTGATCATAAAGAAACCTTCATTAGATTTTTATTTTATATCTATTTTATATTATCAGCATGTTTGGTTGGTTAGGTTAGGTCATGACAGTTTAATTTTATAATTAAAAATTAATTATAAGTAAACCTTCATTCGATTTTTATTTTTATATCATTGTTATATTATCAACAAGTTTGGTTGGGTAGGTTAGGTTATGACAGTTTAATAATAAATAAATATTTAAAAATTAGTTTTATAGTTAAAAAGTTAATTTTCTAACTAAAATATTATAAAATAAACTAGCTGACCCGGCGAACTTCGTATCGCCTAAGTTATAGGTTTCCCCTAAGACAGACCGATGGAAAGAAAGTACCGTTACGTTTAATTTTCAAGATGATCTCGTTCGCATCGCTCAATCACGTCCTGGGGCCCTATTTTTGAAATGGTTGACTGTTGAGTTGAGTGTCGAGTCATTCCATTTCCAATCGTTTCGTATTTTTGAAACTATTGACAGTCGACTTATCCAACCAAAACTACTCACTACCTACTGAGCTGTTGAGTGGACGGTTGACTGCACTTTCTTCTTCCTCTTTCGGTAAAAAATTGCTCTTTTTGAGTCGACGCCATATTGTTATTGCTTTAATTAATTTATTAATTGCGATTAGAGGTTATGTATTTGTTGTCAATGTATTAGCACCCAATACTTTATGCGATTGTTTTCTGTAGAATAATTACATTTTAATTTTATTATTACTGTGTCAATACTAGACTATTTATTCAAGCGTTTTTTCCTTGTTAGTATGTTTGAAATAGACTAGGCATACTAATTGAACTTATTATAAGATAATTATTGTTATTAGACCTATGATTTTACGTATTAAAGATTGTGGTAGAGAGAAACAATATCATAGTTTGTTTCAATACCATTCACCTAATAAAGGGATCAAATTAATTTAAGTTACGATGCTTTCAGTGCAATGGCAAATAGCCGCTTTAACCTAAATAAAAACACAATTAAAAATAACATCAAACAAACCGATGAAGGAAACTAAAATAAGGTGATGTGTTTCGAGATAGAGGCGAAGAAAGCAAATAATAATGTATTTAGGATATGCCTAAACTTATAATTAGCTTCACCCTAAAACAAACATCCATAGTAAATTTAATTTTTAATACTTAAGTTTATTTTATAAGTTAAGGTACTTTTGCAATTACTGAGATTGAAGATTAAGCAAGACATAACCTCAATCTCTCAAGAACGGAGTTGACAGTTTACCTCAGTGTCTCGAAATATGGTAGATTGAGATTAGCTGCTAGATTTTAGAGTAAGAAGAGGTTAAATCGAATATCGCAAGAACTCTGCATTGTGATTGGTTCAAAATGACGTCATCTGAATTTCGGGCGGTCGTATGCTCTACATTTCCACCACGAGTCACTCAACTAGTGATTCCCAACTCGCTTCCCAACTGTTGGGTTTCAAAAATACCAAATCCTATTGTTGGTTGAGTTGAGTGCTGACGATTGACTCAACTGTCAACCATTTCAAAAATAGGGCCCCTGGTTGAAGTTCGTTCGCTACGCTCACTCACCTTTGGGTTGGAGCTCGTTCGCTACGCTCACTCACCTTTAGGTTGGAGCTCGTTCGCTGCGCTCACTTGCCTTCAGGTTAGCTCGTTCGCTACGCTAACTCGCCTCCAGGTTGAAGTTCGTTCGCTACGCTCACTCACCTTTGGGTTGGAGCTCGTTCGCTACGCTCACTCACCTTTAGGTTGGAGCTCGTTCACTGCGCCCACTTGCCTTCAGGTTAGCTCGTTCGCTACGCTAACTCGCCTCCAGGTTGAATCAAGATGATCTCGTTCGCATCGCTCAATCACGTCCTGGTTAAAGTTCGTTCGCTACGCTCACTCACCTTTGGGTTGGAGCTCGTTCGCTACGCTCACTCACCTTTAGGTTGGAGCTCGTTCGCTGCGCTCACTTGCCTTCAGGTTAGCTCGTTCGCTACGCTAACTCGCCTCCAGGTTGAAGTTCGTTCGCTACGCTCACTCACCTTTGGGTTGGAGCTCGTTCGCTACGCTCACTCACCTTAAGGTTGGAGCTCGTTCACTGCGCCCACTTGCCTTCAGGTTAGCTCGTTCGCTACGCTAACTCGCCTCCAGGTTGAATCAAGATGATCTCGTTCGCATCGCTCAATCACGTCCTGGTTAAAGTTCGTTCGCTACGCTCACTCACCTTTGGGTTGGAGCTCGTTCGCTACGCTCACTCACCTTTAGGTTGGAGCTCGTTCGCTGCGCTCACTTGCCTTCAGGTTAGCTCGTTCGCTACGCTAACTCGCCTCCAGGTTGAAGTTCGTTCGCTACGCTCACTCACCTTTAGGTTGGAGCTCGTTCGCTACGCTCACTCACCTTTAGGTTGGAGCTCGTTCACTGCGCCCACTTGCCTTCAGGTTAGCTCGTTCGCTACGCTAACTCGCCTCCAGGTTGAATCAAGATGATCTCGTTCGCATCGCTCAATCACGTCCTGGTTGAAGTTCGTTCGCTACGCTCACTCACCTTTGGGTTGGAGCTCGTTCGCTACGCTCACTCACCTTTAGGTTGGAGCTCGTTCGCTGCGCTCACTTGCCTTCAGGTTAGCTCGTTCGCTACGCTAACTCGCCTCCAGGTTGAAGTTCGTTCGCTACGCTCACTCACCTTTTGGTTGCAAATTAGCTGTTGTCATAAATGTAAAAGAAATAATAGTGCTGCACCCTGTTGGTAATCCTTGTAACTTTAACGCTATTGAACATCATAGAACAGAACCAACTTGTTTAATTGAAACAGCTGTTAAGATTCATTAATTCCATTTCTCATAAGGTTAACATGGGAAACTCCAGAGCCACTGGGGCGGAGCCCTTTTAAGAATTTCGAAACGGGAAATAGTTTACGTCCGATTCGCATACCTACAGAATTTACACACCAAATTTCATAACGATCGGTGAAATCGTTCCGGAGGAGTTTGCAGACAAACACTGTGACACGAGAATTTTATATATTAGATTTAATAATTTTCTTAAATCGACGTGAGGGGCTCTCCCACAATCCCCCACTCTTTCGCCAGATTCTCATCAGTTTGCGGGTGGGGAAACTGAGATGCTAGTCTCTCGCAGGGCTAGAGATATACATACATGTACATAACGATACATGTATATCATGTATATCTCTAGCCCTGAGTCTCTCGGGCTCCTCTCTGTTCCTCTCTCTGTCTTCTTTCTTCATTGTCTTCTCTTCTCGTCTCGTTCTCGTGCAACGTGCAACGGAACGTGCATTCGTGCAATCGCAATCGCAATCAATCGCATCGTGGAACGTCCATGCTTGGTTGCCACACAACCGGCACAATTTTAGGTGTTGATAATTTGTTCATACTACCGGTAAAACAATTTAAATTCCTAAGGCTTTAACAAGATTTATCAAAGTTTAAAATTTGCTGCAAAGATGTTTTGGGGTGAGTAATTATTTAATTATCCGTAGTTCAAATAAACCAGTGGAATAACGTTTAAAGCCAACACGTGTTTAAAAATGTACTTAAGGCCTAAGTTAGACTACCTTCTACAGCTACACTTTCAAACGTATTTCAGGTCGGTTTTTGTTGCATATTTATTTATGCTCAAAAGATACATAATTTATTGTTTTGGAGGAACAACAGTTCATAGAGAAGTTTTTAATCTTAAATTTTGACTAACTTAGGCATGTAAGTTAACTTAGGTTCGGCTAGGCTAAACCCATCCTTGGTTATCCTAGGGTACATGCACTTTTTTGGCTATGCTTAGTGTTGTTAGAGCTGTTTGCTATTTTACCTGCATGCCCACAATTATGAGGTTAGGCTAAGTTGTAATAAGTTTACGCCCATGTTACCCAAATCGTGATTCTTGAAATGTGCTTAAACTTAATGTGTAGGCTAAACTTAGTCGATTGTACGCCTAACCTACGCCTTGGCCTTAGTAAAATAAATTTCAGCCGACTTCTTACTCAACAAAACTTCCTCCAATAGCCTACTTACTTCAATAATCTATCAGAGTTTTGCCACAATACTTACGGGTCATTCTCCAAACAAGGTACAATTTTAGGGCATAAATTTTCAACCCTCCGAGTGTTATGTGTCGTAAAAGCGACTCGTAACACATCCGCTGTTATGTGTCGCTTTTGCGACTCACAAACACTGTTTACGGCGACGGCTCTGGGACTGACTGAATCGGATTGAACAAGATCGAGTTAGGTATAGTTTTTTTTCAGCAGATTCAGAGCTTTCTCCTGATGTCTGTTTCTAGACGCTTTTCATTTTCGTTCCGAAAATATTCCAGCAGACAGCTGACGTGCGTATTTGTACAACAGCTTGGTTAACCTCGCAGGGCTTTTAGTGCTATGGGAAAATCACCATGTACAAAATCACAGTTCTAAAAAAAGAAAAATCGCCTAGAGATACCATGGATTAGTACCTAGGCCCTACATACAAAAATTTATCAAAATCGAACCACGGGTATAGTCTGTAGCTCTGTACACATCCACACATACAAACACACACATATGGGTCTTTGCCAAATACTCGCAAACACCAAATTGTGGCATCTTTCTAACTGCGGCCACCAATAGATGAAGGGAAACGATGATGACAAAATGACAATAAGCTATGCTATATTTTTTGTGATCAATACAAAATAGCTTATTCTTAGTCAAATCCTGTGGAGATAAGCGTATGGTTCAGTTCTCATCTACGATCGAAGGCAGATAATCCGATTATCAGTTAATACGAGGTCGGTTAAGAAGGGGTCTACTGTATCTTCAGGTGTTTTTTTCATTTGTTTGAAATTTTGATTTTTAACCCTCCCAGTGTTACTTGACGAAAATTCGGCAAGCACCACACTTTGTATAGTGTTACTTGCCGATTTTTCGACAAGCAGACATCGTTTACGGCGAAGGCTCTATAACTGACTGAATCGGATTGAACTGGATCGAGTTAGGTATCGTTCTTTCCGTTACATTCTAAGCTGTCTCCAGATGTCTGTCTCAGCGCTGTATTTTTCTCCTAGCCGATCATAATTGATGCAGACAGCTGACGTTCGTGTTTCAGCCATCTTGGTTATTTTACGTCGGTGCCTTGTGTGTTTTAGTACGTTTATCGTCGTTTTTAGTGGTAAAAATGGACAGTAGTGATATTCGTAATGCACTAAGTGAAGATATAAGTGATGTAGAAGGATTTGTTGATGATCCCGAAGAAGTAGGCAGTGACATTGATGTGAATTATCCTTCAGATTCTGAACTATCTTTGCTAGACTTTTCGTCAGGGAGTGGAGAGGAATATGTGCCCGATTTGAACGATTTAGAGACGTCAGATATTGACGAAAATCTTGAAATTGAAAATGAACAAGACACCAATGCAGGTAGGCCTAGGCTAATACCGGTACAGCAAAACATAGAACCTTGGATTAGGGTGTATCCCCCCGAACCTCCGAAAGATGTCAGACCTCAGTTTCAAGTTAGGGCTACAGGACCCAAAGATTTACCCCCAAGAAATTCTTCCCCTATCAATTATTTGAACCTATTTTTGACAGCTGCCTTTTGGAGTATCATTACAAGAGAAACAAATGCCTATGCTCAAAGAACATTAGATGAAAAGAGAGATAATTTGAGTCCACATTCTAGGCTCAAAAGATGGTCCAATGTTTCCATACAGGAAATGAAAAAGTTTTTTGCTATTCTTATCAATATGGGAATGACTGTTAGAAAAAACATCAAATCATATTGGGACACTAGAAAAACAGAACATATAGCATTTTTTTCAAACACCATGGGGGTAAATAGGTTTTTACTCATAAGCAGTTTCTTGCATTTGACATCGGCCCGCGCTGTTGAGAGGGGTCAGCCTGGACATGACCATTGGATAAAAGTAAGGTGGTTGTTAGATCATCTCAATTCAAGTTTCAAAAAACACTTTGTACCAAATCAGGAACTCTCCATCGACGAAAGTGTAGTAGGAACAAAGAACCGATGCATATTTATTCAATATATGCCAAATAAGAAACACAAACAATACGGCATCAAGAAATTCGAACTTTGTGATAGTGCCACCAATTATGTTATGCACATGGAACTATACAGTGGACGTGATTACCTTGCTGAAGCTAATTACGATGAAGAGTTGTTTACCGAGAGGGTAGTAAAGAACTTGATTGAAAAATCTTCATTGTTTGACAAAGGATATCATGTCTTTACGGACAATTTTTATACAAAGATTCCGTTGGCTGAACACCTTCTTGAACGACAAACATTCATCACCGGAACCATAAACAAAAAGTCAAAATTTTTATCAAAAAGAATTAAAGACTATAACTTAGGAGAAAGGGAAACAGTATACTTTAGAAAGGGAAATCTGTTATTGGTTGGTTACCGTCAGAAACTGAGTAGAAAAATTGTGTATATGATTTCTACAGCATACCATGCGGAAGATCAAATTATTACAAGTAAAAAGGGACTGAGAGGCATGAAACCTGTTATGATACACCATTACAACCAGTTTATGGGTGGTGTAGATGTAAGCGACAAATCTGTGTACCATATGTCTTGCAACCGCACCACTTCCAAGTACTGGAAGAAGCTGTTCTTCAATTTTATTGATATTGCGCTCGTAAATGCTTACATTCTTTACAAAGAGAACACTGACAAACCTGTATCAAGAAGAGACTTCCACATATCTATTGTAGAATCCCTCGTAGGCGAAGAAATCTGCGATGCCTTACCTGGACCAGTTCCTGGACCTCGCGGGGATTGCGGTGACCACCGACTTGAAAAACTGCCTCGAAGAAGTGAAAGAAAGTGTATCGTTTGTAGTCACACCAAAACTAGAGGCAGGTCTTCATATTGGTGCCCCGGATGTAATGTGGGTGTTCACAAAGAGTGCTTCCACAAAATGCAGCACTTTTGGAGGCATAACAATGGCAGAAAAAGGGCCAGAGTGCCCCTAGACCAAGGTAGCGGAGAGGACTCTGATTAGGCCCATGTGTTAATTCTTCTGTATATAATATTTCTATTCATAAGTGTTAAGTTTTTATTTACAAGTGTTGAAAACTATTGACAGCAACAACTGTGCAAGTTTTTTGTCTGACTTTTGTGACTTTTTGTAAATATATTTTGGATACTTTGTAATTTATCAAGTTCAGCAAACGAATTCTTCAAGTTCGGCAAAGGATTCTGGCCCCAATCAAGGTAAAACCATGCTGTATTTTTCTCATTTACTAGTAGGCTGATTTTGTACTAACTGTAAATAAAATTTCATACAACATGAAATACTCTGGTTGGTTCAATATGTGTTTTTATGAAAGGTGTTGAGTCATTTGGCGATTTCGGTATTTTCTTTCAAACGCGCAAAACATGTTTTTCACTCATAACTTATTTATTTGATAACTTACCTCACTATATGATTATATATTTGTAATCCTCATTAAATTTGAACAAAGTGGCTATTTTCAAATATTTATAGGCCTATAATTTATACAATTTCATTGAGCGCAAACTTTTTTTTTTTCAATTTTTCCAAAATAATTTTTTTTTTACCTAAAAAATTTTTTTGAAACAAATATTCATGTTTTATGTATGATATTGAAGCCCATGATTTTCCAAACAAAATGGTATATAGAACATTAGAATTAACATTGTTATAAGCTTCTCAGATCCGTTTTAATAAAACCTTGCAAATGCGCCAAAAATAGGTGGACATTTCGGTATTTTCTTTCAAGCGCACAAAACATGTTTTTCACTCATAACTTATTTATTTGATAACTTACCTCACTAAATGATTATATATTTGTAATCCTCATTAAATTTAGAACAAAGTGGCTATTTTCAAATATTTATAGGCCTATAATTTATACAATTTCATTGAGCGTGAACTTATTTTTTTTTTGAAAATTTTCAAAATTATATTTTTTTTACCTAAAATTTTTTTTTTTTTTTAAATGTTCCTTATGTTTTATATATAATATTGAAGCCCATGATTTTCCAAACAAAATGGTATATAGAACATTAGAATTAACATTGTTTTAAGCTTCTCAGATCCGTTTTAATAAAACCTTGCAAATGCCCCAAAAATAGGTGGACATTAAGGCCTAAACTATGGACACTCGGAGGGTTAATGGGGATTCTTCCACAAAAACCCATAAAAAACTAGAAAAATCAAATTTTCTCAAAAATGGCCTGAACGATTTTCATAAAAATTTAGTAGGCTATGTTGTAGCCCTTTAAATTCTGGACAAAATGGTACAAATCCAATTTCTGTAAAAATTACGGTTCAAAAGTTATTGTAAATTATGTTATTTTCCCATATAAATAACAAAAAATATGATTATTGAAAAAAATCCGGTTTTGATTTAACATAGTAGGCCTACCCTATGTTACGGTCCTTACCATTTTGATAGTTTTTTTCATTTTTTAGAAATTTTGATTTTTAATGGGGATTTTCCCATAAAACCCCATAAAATACCTAACGGAAAAATTGGATTTTCCAAAAAATGGTTCGAACTATTTTGATACAAATTTAGTATGTTATAGTCCTGTAAATTCTGATCAAATTTGTACAAATCCCATTTCCGTATATTTACTCTCACCGCTTACACATGATAAAGGTTGTTGACACTTATGGGAGAAAGTATGTGTCAGAATGCTGATACCGTTTATTATGATTCTAGTTATCACTTATTAATAAGTTATCTTGTTCATGAGTTTTCCTAGGATGTATTGAAACTGTTGGTCTACTTAACATTGTTAACTTAAATTTTATTTTCAGGTTTAGTTTTGGAGCCTGGAAAGCGTTATAGCACTACTGTTGAGAAGGGGTTTCATGTGTCAAAGGCTGCATTAGATTGCTCCTCTATTAGAAATGGTAAGTGTTTAAAGGAGTCTCATAAACAAATTACCTACTGCTCTCTCAACATAACTTTTTAGCTTGGAAGATATGTAGGGAGTGGGTTATTTGTAGCCACTCTACTTGTTAAATAAATTTCCTTCCTCTTTAATTGAGTGGCGTAATACTGTTAATTCATATGAATGAAATACCATTAGAGCTGTATCTCACTTAAATGGTGTTATCTATCAGTTGAAAAGAAACACATAAGCCTATGTCCTACTATCCTGTTAGTTAGGTTTATGCATAGTTGTTTTAAATTATCAGAACAGTGCAGCAGGATTATCCGGACAATCATGAATAATTTGGGGATGCGGAATATTACCTCCGGAAAACCACACCCCAGGTTCAACGTGACATTACGAAATCTACCAACTATATTCGGGGACATGAAATAAGGTAGGTTCGAGTGATTTTGCAACGTTGCCATATCGGCACCGGCAGACGCCCGCCACGTGCGGCGACTGCTTGAAGGTGACTACTTGTAAGAATTATTTATTTATTCAAATGATTAATAGGTAATTTTTGCTAATAAAACATACATTTTTTATGTGTTAAATGTTGTTTGTGGTTTAACCCTCCCAGTGTTACTTGACGAAAATTCGGCAAGCACCACACTTTGTATAGTGTTACTTGCCGATTTTTCGGCAAGCAGACATCGTTTACGGCGAAGGCTCTATAACTGACTGAATCGGATTGAACTGGATCGAGTTAGGTATCGTTCTTTCCGTTACATTCTAAGCTGTCTCCAGATGTCTGTCTCAGCGCTGTATTTTTCTCCTAGCCGATCATAATTGATGCAGACAGCTGACGTGCGTGTATTTGTAAACAGCTAGGTTCCCCCGGACCGATGACTGATGTGTTTTATTACGTTTATCATTGTTTTAGTGTTAAAAATCAAAAGTAGTGATATACGTGGTGCATTATAAGAAGATTTATGTGGTTTTGAAGTGCTGGTTGATGATCCTGAAGAAGTAGGTAGTGATATTGATGTAAATTATCAGCCAGATTCCTAGCTATGGTTAGGCTATGCATTCTTAGCTAAACGCTATGTACTGAAATCAGTTTTTTGCCCATAACTTATTTATTTGCAAATCTACTTCCTTATATTATTATATAGCCTATTTGTAATCCTCATAAAATTTAGAACAAAGTGGCTATTTTCAAATATTTATAGGCCTATAATTTATACAATTTCATTGAGCGCGAACTTATTTTTTTTTTTGAAAATTTTTGAAATTATATTTTTTTTACCTAAAAATTTTTTTTTTTTTTAAATGTTCCTTATGTTTTATATATAATATTGAAGCCATGATTTTCCAAACAAAATGGTATATAGAACATTAGAATTAACATTGTTTTAAGCTTCTCAGATCCGTTTTAATAAAACCTTGCAAATGCGCCAAAAATAGGTGGACATTAAGGCCTAAACTATGGACACTTGGAGGGTTAAATGTTGTGCACTGGCTGATTTAAAACCAGTTTTTGTTTACTGTATAACAGATTCGTCGGATAAAAAAAATGTTTTTGGTTGTAATAACTTTTACTATATCTTCTGTCCAAATTGCATCATATTCTAAAATCATACTACTTTATACCTTAACATTTGGTGGAATAATTAAATAATAACATCAAGAATGTTCAAATAAATATTTACTAGTGTACCTGTTGCTCGAATTCGAGCAATTGCGAAGCATTACAGGCGTTATTTTAAAACGAATAACAGTCATAATTTCCGATGACTTTTTAAGAGTCGACTCAAAGATTATGGAAATACTCAAAGATGTACACAGCAGTTAGATATAATAAAAATTTTTTGTAAATATCTTATCTTTTTTCAAAAGCTGACCTTGTTTTTTAGTGTTTTCTACAAATTTTCCCCACTCATAGCCGCATTATGTTGTCTACAATGTCTATAAATGTAAAAAAAAAAACATTATTTCTATTTCTTCTACTGTACTTGGTTGTGTTCTATGACTTTCCTGTTTCCATTGTTTGCAAATCGGCTCTTTCAATTATTGCTCAAGAAATGTAGCACAGTGTTAATTCAGTTTTAATTTTAGTATATCAAACTGTCCAGTATTTCTCACTTTTTTCCATTGTAATTTTAAAAATTACACCAACCAAGTATCGTCTACTACAGATGCAATACGCCAAAGAATATCGTCTACGTGCAATCTCCAAGAAGTGGTAAAAAAGGCAGAAACCAACCCATACAATAGATATAAGTTAACTCCATAAGAAATAATTTTAAGAGTTACTGTGATATTAGGATTTTCCACTAATTTGGTAATAGAACTTTACATTGCAAAACATGGCACGATTCAGAAGAAAATCAATTTTAAAATCAGAAAAAAATACATTGCAAATACTTCATTTTGACAAAGTTAGTAAATCACAATAATTTAAATATTAACAGCTGTTTCATTCAAAAGTACTGCAAATGTATGCATATGGTCGTAATGTAAACAAACCTGAAGAGGGAACTTTAAAGGCCTCTGGGGCAGAGCCCCGAGGAAATTTACCTTTCTTTAGAGACCCCTACCGAGTTTCTACACCCAGCCGTTCTCTCAAATCAGCTGCCACAAAGAAAACCAGTTTCAAATTAATATATAGATTTCTAACCTTCATGTTTTATTTTCAATCACTTCCTTCATCATCAGGGTCTCCTCTCTCTCTGTCTGTAGTTTCGTCATTTAAGTTTATGATGAATGGCTCCATGGCGTCATCCCTTACTATTTCCTTGGTCCAGTCATCCTCTTTGAGTTTATCCGCATGTCGAACACACTTCTGTCAGTCACTTGCAGTTACTTTGTTGATAGCGTCGGAAGTAAGTTAAGTCTCAACATCACTGATTTTAAATGTTGTTTTTTTTTTCAGCAACCTCCCGTTTGACTTGAGCCAAAATCAACTCAATCGGATTGTATTGGCAGTGATATATCAATTGTATTGTAGTGGTAGTCATAAAACTTGATGGCCGGCCTAAAGCAATCTCGTCGAGCTCGTACTGCTTTTATTTCTTGAATGAAGTGACTTTCACCAGTAGCTCGGCTTTCAATTCATAGGAGAAAAAGGGATATTTTTCCATCAACCATTCCTGTATTTTACTTTCTTCCATGACATGTTTGGGATCTTTTCCAGTAAAGTCGAGTGGTAAGGTGCGTTATCCGTGATGATAACTGACGGTTCTTCTAAACTCGGCAATAAGTGTTCCTTGAACCATATGTGGAAGGACTTGCTATTCATTTCTGAGTGGTATCATTCTTTTTTGATCGAAATACCCACTTGCACTCGGGAAAAGTATAAAGTATAAAACCATTTGCGCCACCAGCATGACAAATGATCAACCTGCTGCCTTTTCCCGTAGGTACTTTAAAACCGCCTCCTTTATCTGAATGATGCCAAATATACTTTTTAAAATGGAACTGGTTAACCCAGGTTTCATCTAGATAGATTCTCTTTAGAGGTCTCTCCTCTTGCTTTAGTGCATGCATCAATCTTAAAAATCTTGCTCGAGTAACCGCAATGTCCTGTCTCTCCAATAAAAACTTCCTTCCGTCGTTGCTTTTGTTCTACTTAAACCCTAAATTGCGGAGTAGTCTCTGTGTTGAACGAACACTTCCTTTTTAACCAATTTTTTCTTGCAGGTGTACTCAAAATTTTTGGCGAGCAACATCAGAGTCAAAGTCATTCAACATATTTGCAGGTTTTCCCCTCTTGTATTTTTTCTGGGTGATTTAAAAGTTAATTTATCAAGCGGAGATAATTTTGCTTCTTTATTGCATTTTTGAACGGATCGTAGGCTTATATCGCACATTTTTGCCGTCAACTCTTGACTTTTCTTGAAATAAACTGTTTCTCGGAATTCCAGATCCTCCAATTTACGGACATAATTCATAATGAACTGACTAGGATAGATTTTGTCTGACTGCCCAGGTCCTTTTTGCATCCTTTTTTTACATACATGCAATCTTCATTTTACTGGTGTTTTGAATTGTTCTAGTAATCTTTCAGATTCAGTTAATGAAGTGGAAGGCCCAAGTTGATAAGGTAAACTTGGTGTTTCGGGACTCACTAACTCTACAGGTACAAGTTCAGTCAATGTGGTAGGATACCCAGGTTGATCTGGATCGCTTCACTTTCCATATTCAATATGGAACTCACAATACAACAATATTTCAATAACACACCTTTCACGTTGAAAGATCCACCCTTACTGAAGGGCTGATGAATGCCTTGAGTGGTGCTGGTAGCGCGAGGCGTGGCAGGTGTCACTCACAGGAACCGGTTCAGATGGGTGGATAAAGAAAGAGAGATTTAGTTATACAGTAGACTCCCTCTCAGCCGGACACCTTTTAACCAGACATCGGTTTAACCGGACAACAGTCGACAGAAATGACATCTCTTTAACCGGACAATTATTATCGGCACATTGGTTTAACCGGGCTAGATCGGCAGGAAGTGGGCGGTACTGTAACGACTGTTCTCGTGGGAATGATTTGAGACCAGTGATCACATGTCTAAATACAATGCTCTCCTAAATTTAAGTCGAATATCACCGTAAACGGACCATTTTAATGAGTTTTTGGGGACGTCGGCTTAACCGGATAAACCGTTATCCAGACTGGCCTCGGTCCCGAGGAGTCCGGATAAGAGGGAGTCTACTGTACTATTTTTCCTCAACAGGGAGAAAGCGAGCCTTCCGTGGTGCGATTCCCACAAACCAGCCCCCTCATGCGGACACAAAAACGTGTAACATTTAATTTTATTATTGACCACTATCAATGCAAATGTCATTTAGACACAATATTTTTCGTTCATACAAACAATCGATTGTCACAACAGTGCTTTCAACGTAATATTCGGGGCAAGTTAACAAAATTAACAAGAGTTTACAAAATCTACAAGAAAATAATAAATATGAATGTTAAAATTATGAAACTGAACAAAAGTGTTGGTAAATAACCCTCCTATATACC